ATCTTTACACACATCACACCCATGTGTTATACGAAAATGATTATAATAGTGTTCAATGCTTTGTTCTTTTGTATTATACTACTCATTTTTCATCGTCATGATTAAAACTTTTTCAGTGAGTAATGAATGCTATATTCTAGAATATTCTATTCATGAAATAATGGATTGTAATATTTTACTGCTTGATTAGACATAACAATTATCTCTATTAATCCCAAATGTCTATAATTTTATAAATTACTTCTTGAGTTTTTGATATATTGTCAAATTTCCTCATTTATCTAATGTCAAAATTCATAGGGTAATAATTAGATGCATCACATCTAATTCATTAAAATCTTCTACTATTTGCAAATGAGAAGTTATAAGGAAATGACATGCCGGCAGTGCCTTCCGAAATACATTTGTTTTTAATATTAACTCAACAATTTATCGAGCTTAGGCTACGTGATGAGACTACTAAGATTTGTAATAACGATATCGACTTGTTTTTCTCTTTGTCATAATATCCAAGCTTTCTATTTATTCAAATATTTCTCATATTAAACAAATATTGTATAGTTTTAATATACGACTTAAAAATAAAAAGTGATTCGAATGGTTAGCATTCATAGAGAAAAAAAAAATCAAAACTTATGTTATTGTCAATGTTTTTTTCTTCCATTATGTTATAGAATGTCGTCAATCTGAAGAAAAAAACTAAAGGATTGACTCATCCTAGATTTTTAGATTCAGTCAAAAGAGATTGTTCGACAGAGATGAATAATGTATGTTTTTTAGATAAATGAATACCTGTGAAAAAAATGACAAGGAATTGCGAAGATACCATTGCTTACGAATGATGAAATAGAATAGTAAAAGAAAGAAAAAAACAACATCTTTTTTTCTTTTCTTCTTGTTTTTGTTATTGTTTACTTTTGTGTTTTGTTTTTTTTTTTCAAGCTTTTATTTCATAAAGTAAAAATATTTTTTTGGAAGAATTTAATGATTTTAAAAAAATTATTTAAAAAAAATCGATGAAAAATAAGAAAATTGTTTTTTTCTTAACTTATGATTTGTTTAGAAATAAACCAATTGAATTATAGAGAACAAAACTTATTTTTGTTGTCAAATTATTTATCTATTCTTAAAGAGTATCAATGAGTGTGATATTTTTTTTCTCACGTCCCGATGTATATTCTATATCAAATCATTGCATTAATAATGAATAAATGTTATTCAAGTACAGTCAAATGATCTTCAGAGATTATAAACTGTTTCACTTCTTCTTTATCTTTTTTTTGTTTTTTATTCGTCATATCGAAACAATTCTTTTTTTCTTTTTTGCTTTGATAAGAGAAGTAAGTAGTGAAATTACACTTGTAAACTTCATTTGCATGAACAAAGTCTAAATACTTATGTATTATGTAACTATGAAGAAGATTTTGTATTCAAAAGAAAAAAAAATGCAAATTATACTTCGAATGGAAGCATTAACTAATCATATGTATAAATTAAAATTAATTCAAGATTTTTGTCATTTTTATTCTTGACAAGTTTGTTGTCTTTTTTTTTAAAATGAAATAAAATAAATTTCGTTTACTTAGGAAAGTGCTTGCGCAGAAATGAAAGCAACTATGTCTAAAAAATTATTTGCTTATCTTTCGCATGATTGAACTTATATGATCGATGCATTGGCTGTGTATGTACCAAACTTTTTGTAGTGGAAATAGTAATGTTGAGATTCAAGTATCATTAAACGTAGAAGTATGTTCGATTTTATAAATATCGTGAAAAGTCCAATGTATGTTTAAATTTATATGGTGATAATAATGCTGTATGATATTTTTGCAATATGTGAAGCAATTATTAAGAGAATGACGACATGTCGATATTTTATTTTATTCAAGAACAAGATATTAAACGAAATGAAAGATTCGAGGTATATTGAAAGTTAAATCAACATTTCCTATACAAAAAAAAAAAATTTTTTTTAAATTTCACATTTATTTATTTTAGTTGATAACTTACATAAGTTTTAATTGTAATTCAACGCACGTCTAATATAAGATCAATATGGAACCGGCTGACCTATCATTACCAGTACATGTGTTTTATTATCTCATAGAGGATGTGTAATGAAACTTTGTTGAAAGTTGACTATGTCAATCTACGGATGGAATAGTGCAACAAATCATCGGTAATAGGTTTCAGACCGATCCATCTGGCCTACTGACGCGAGTTTCTTCTCTGATTTGATCCGTTTTCCGTAGGAAGAGCATTCATTTATATTTTTAAATAGAATTTCTATTCATTATTTCATATAAAATATTAATAATGAAATCAAATTGAAAATCATATACAATAGTGTTTTATCCAATGCAGCGCTTCTCTGAATATCTGATTATCCTTTCTAGAGTTTGTTGTTATTATATTACATATATACTATGTTTTTTTGTGCTTTCAAAAATAGATATTCACTCTCCTGAAGCTGAAACTCTGGATTGAATATCGATATACAATCATATGTTTATTCTAATCTACTATTAAATTTCAAAATATATGAATAGAATAATTTTACATTTAAAACATGAAACCAAATAAATATATATTTATTTTCTATTCATCATATATAATAGAAATAATCAATAAATCTATTAATATATTTTTAGATAAATAATGACTGAATTATCATCATCGATTCAAGAACAAAAATCATCATCATGGTTTAGTAATTTTAGTTTACCAACAAATTTAACTAATCAATTATCAAATTTCAGTTCAGCAATTGTTCAAACAACATCAAAATTAGGTACTGCTGCTAATACATTTGTTCAAAACTCAATTCAAGAACGATTTTTAACAACTAATGAAAATCAACAACAAACTTCTGAAACAACTAAAACAAATAAAGATTTTACCAGTATATTATTTTTTTTTATTTTCTTACTTTCGAAAATTAATTTTATTTTTATAGGTATTCTTAGTGATCTTGGTTCGACTGTATTGAAAAGTGCTCAACAATTAAAACAAGTTGTAGAAGAAAAAACTATAATTGGTAATTTTACAAAAGAACAAGACAAATTTTTAACAGATAAACGTATTAAACAAAGACGTGAAGAATCAGCTGTTCTTCCATGGATTGGTTATGAACAAGAAGAAGAAATGAAAAAACAAATTTTAGCTCTTTCACAAGTTAGTTATCCGTTAGGTTTATTAAAAAACATCGTCGAATAAGGTCGTAAATTACCGTTAAATTTCTTTCTTATATTACACAGCATCAAATATTTGAGATTTTATAATGTAAGAAAGAAGTCTAACAGTAAACACGATCGCTATGTCAGTTTATAGAGCATAAAAGACTACATTGAACTATGTTATTACTTTTGATATTGAGTTTATAAAAGAAAAGATTATCGGTATCATAGTTATTAACCGAAAAACACTCAAAAATGATAGATCTGTAAAATTATTTAGTCATCGAAAAATTTATTTTCGGATTTAACAAAAAGCAAAATTTCATGGTCTATCTTTCTATCCTATAAAAAGTGGGATCTAGACAGAGATGGTAGATTTATGACTTTATCCGACGGTATTCTTTATCGTAAACTTTGATTTTTTTCGTTTGTTTAGGAAAAGCGTAATTTTCTTCGTAGTCCACCGCCTGGAGCAAATTATCATTTTGATATTGCAGATATTTATCCAGTTGCATTAGCTATTCTTGAAATTGATGAAAATTTAAAACAAATGCGTTTTGATCTTGTACCAAAACAGTAAGAACATTTTTTGTCCTCTGTATTTAAAGTCTATACAAAAAAAAACAAATTTATATTTAGAATTAATGAAGAATCATTTTGGCGTAATTATTTCTACCGTGTAAGTTTAATAAAGCAATCGACGCAATTAACAGCTTTAACAAGTAAAAATAGTAACTTATTATCTATCGATTTTGTTTTATTTTTTGTATTATTTTAGCAAATACACAATCAACCGATGAAACACATAATTCATCAAATAATCCTGGTAAATCAAAAAAAAAAAAGATATTTTGGTTCTTAAGAATAAGAATAGATAGTTCGATAAATAGAGCACTTCTGCTTTCATACTGACGAAGAAATGTTCCCAAATATCGAATTGGTTTCCGTTTGAAGCTATTGCTATTCAATCGACCTTGATAAGTAATGAAAAAGCCTATTTCGGTTTGGTCTCTTCCGGTCTTCACTTATCAAATTATGGATATTTTAATCGGTTTTTTGCTCTATGAATTGTGTTAACTGGTTAGATGTTCTACAACACAAAATAATCTCATTCTTTTTTTTTTGCATAGATATAATCGCAGCCATAAGTGATGTATATACATAGTAAATAAAAAACGATTAGTTAAAAAGCACAGGAAGATTTTTCTGAGGAAAAATTTTTCTTTAAAAAATTAATTATTTTTTTCTTTTTAGTTTTAGTACGTCGAACATCTGAATTACAGGAAAAAATATCTGATGGTAATCAAGAATTTGTCAGTGAAGATTATGATACATCAGCTTTAAGTATGGATGATATTCGACGTGAAATTGAACAATTAAGTATAACAAGAAAAAATTCAAATAAAACAAAATATAATAATTCAGGTAAGCAATTATCTATTTTATTTTGTTTTTTATATAAGTATATTTATTTTCTTTTTCACTTTTTTTCAAGATTTCGATGAAAGTGAATGGGATAAAGGATTAACTGATGAACTTGAGAATGTTACCGCTGAAGAACTTGAAGCACAAATTAATGAATTATTAGCTGGCAATACTAAATGAAAATTTACTTTCTATTATTTCGATGTTTTTTCCTTTTTTTTTTTTTTTGTATACAAGTCGTAAAAGATTTGATGATTATTTTTATTATAATCTTGTATATCTAAATATATTACAGCTATGATTTATTTTCCAAATAAAAATAATGACGGTGATGGTAGATATATATATATTTAGCATGCTTATGTTTTTAGAAAAAATTTACAAAAAAAAAAGGTCAATATGGCGACTAGACAAACTGGTTTGTAACATTTAAAAAGCAAAGAATGTTAGAAACGAAAAAAGAAATTTTTGTTTATTTTTCATAGCATCAACTCGTAACAATAGTGTTGAAAGTGTGTGTCATTCTTTTTGTATAGAAAATTATTTAATTTAATAAATTTTAGAGATTAAAATGAAAAAGAATTCACGTCAATCAAATATCAATGAGGGTCAACATTGATTATTATTATTATCATTGTTTTCTTTTTTATTATTAATTAAATATTTGCTGTTTTTAGAACCAATAAATAATGCAAAACGTCGTCGAACTGAAAAAAATTATATTCAAAAAACTCATATACAATATGATTCATTAGAAAAATATGGATATCATTTTAAAAGTAATGCTATTTTAAGAAAATATTAATGATAAATACTAGATCAACTAAAATGTATTAAGTATTTTCTGTCTAACTCTTTGGAGATTAACGAAGGGATCATCCGAACTGATATTCACCGTTTAAGTTTATATTAGGTGTATAAGGACATCTTGGTGAGACTAGCGAAAGTCTCACCAAGGTGTCCTTGTAAGCTCAAACGACGAGCATCAATTCAGATGGTTTTCTCATGAACCGAAACATATACGGTTTCGAAATTCGATCAGGGAAAGAGATTCATAGATATCCTGTATGGACTTATCGAGAGCAGTTTACGAGAAATTAAATTTATCCTATTTTACTTGTATGCTTTTCAAGTCATTATGGCTTTCATATTTTTCTTTCGTTAGTTTTTTCGAGCGTACGATTGAATCGGTATGTTTCCTTCACTCATATCTAAAAAGACTAAAGGACTAGAATATTCTTACGGTTTTAGAAGGTGTGTGTAAGCATAAAAGTAAACTTGTACATCAAACAACAAATAGAAAAAACTTCTCCGAAAATCTGTCTTGTATGTGTACACACAAGTCGAAGATTTAGAAAGAGAATAGAGTTATGCTATAAGTGTAAAGATCTTTGTATTGTTGGTTGTTTTGAGGAGTTTCATACTTAGTTTTTTTTTGTATACGTTATTGAATTGTTGTTTATTATACTTCTTGGATGTGTGTTTTGTTTTTATTGCAAGTAAAAATCCAACTTTTTTTTTTCTGTAAAAAGAAAAGTCGGCCGTCAAATGGTTAAAAAGCTGTTAGCACAATCTCTACAAAATTAAAATGTGAAACATGATATAGTTGCTATTGCTAATTACAGACAGATTGTTTTATTCAATCTATTTTGAGACACATTTCTTCACCGCTCTTTCACTTAATCTTTCTGTGGAAGAGGATCTAAATCTCTATCTCTATGAACTATGCTTTTTTCATTCTTTAAATTATTAGGAACATATTCAGAATAATTGTATTTTTATAGAAATATTTTTTTTTCTTTATTTAAATAGATGACAAACTGGTCTCAATTGAAACCGGTAAACCATTTAAATTCGATGTATTTTCAGACAATGATGAAAATCAAAAACGATATGAATCAGTTGGTAAATTAATTGATAATGCTGTATTTGAACTACTTGAGAATACATGTCAATTACAACGTGTTACAGTACCAGTATGTCTATTGATTAAGAAAAAAACAAATTTTAATTCAAATTTTTTATTTTATATAATCAAAAATAAATTTATTGATTATTTTTAAAGGTTGATGCTAAAAAAAGTGAACATACAAGTTTTATTTTTACAAGTAATGATTTATCAACTGCTAACTATCTTATGGTGATTATTCATGGAACAGGAGTTGTACGAGCTGGTCAATGGTCTCGAAAGTAATAAATTGCTTCATTCGACTTCTTTTTTGTTTTTTAGTATTTTATTTTCTATTAGATTAATAATTAACGAAGGTTTGGAAGTTGGTTCTCAAATGGAATATATTCGACGAGCTCGAGCAGCTGGTTATGCTGTTATTATTACTAATACTAATTTGAATAGCTTTGAATCTCCTCGATTTCTTCGTCGTTCAACAATATGTCCTATTCGTGTAAGTTTTTCTTTTTCATATTTGAACTAAATTATGTAATAGCATAAGTCTTTCGAAATTGTTTATTTGTTAAAGAATTCTAAATTTTTTACATGTAGACAATACTAATCAAAGAAAAAAAAAGATTAAATTTTAGTTCAATTTTCATATGTGAAGAAAAGTTAAAGTTAAAAATGAAAATATTTATTATTCTCCTTGGACAAGTATGAAATAGGTTCTATTCACTTTTTAAAACAAGAACGTAAGGAAACGATGATTTATACAATCACTTATCATCTCTTTCGTATTTTTTTGAATCGATTCACAAAAGAAAACATTATATAAATCAGAACTCTAAATCGAACATCATATTGTAACAAATTTACCTTTCATATTCGAAATGAAGACGTTAAACTCATGATAAGATTATGATCACATTGGATTAATTTTGATCGAGGAAATCATTTCAAGAAAGTAGCTAAAGCTTTGCCTATGGATACCATATAGTATTCTAATAAAAATCCTCAATGGTAATAAGATTTGACTAAGCTATCGTTTTTTTTTCTAGAAGCTTCAGATTTTCCGAAAACTCGTATTTTCGAATTTTGATCTTAAACTTTGTGCATATAGAGAATTTCAACTAGAAAAGCTTCTTTAAAAAAAATTCAGATGTTTTGAACAAAGTCTCTTCGAAACATGAGACTTTGCCATGAATATGCATCTTTGGAAAACTTCATATCTCGAAGAGACTTTGTTCAAAATACCTGAAATTTTTCATGAAAGCTAATTCAGTTGAGTTGTCTATATGCACAAATTTTCCAATCAAAATTCTAAAATACGAGTTTTCCGAAAAATCTAAGGCCTCTCGGAAAAAAATCGATAGCTTAGTCAAATCTCATAGGATTTTCATTAGAACGCTATGTAGTATCTATAGACCAAAAAACCCTATTGAAATCGATATGGGCAGCTCAAGAATTTCCATCGTTAGTTCTCATGGCTCAGTCATATTTTATAAAACCCATCTATTTTCTTGAAATAAACCTTCTCCGATCGAAAAAGTCAATATGAATCTACGATCACCGTAGTTTTATTATGCGTTCACCGGTTTCTTATACGCACATATCTAGAGCAGTACAACGTTCTACCTAAGACCGATGATCACGGTCACCATTGCATCTCTATTTCATATAGAGATCGAGTATTCGCATCGACAACAAAAATTTTAATTCGATTATCAACTTTATTAAAGGACATCTCAAGATAACACACTACAAGAAATCTTATATTGATAATAAAGTTCAATTTACAATAGATAAACATAAGTAGAAGTTTTTTTTCTTATTTTTTAGGGTAGTAGTACTGCTGAAGAACATGGATGTTATGTATGGGAACATTTTATCCGTCCAAGTCATGCTAAACATATTTGTATTATGGCACATTCGTATGGTGGTGCTGTAGTACTTGAAATGGTTTGATAGATTTTTCTTTTGAATATCTTTTTTGTTTTTTTTTATATCAATTTTAGGCTCATCGTTTTTTAAAAGAATTTGATAAAAGAGTTTTTGCTGTAGCATTAACTGATTCACCTATGACAATTTATGGACGAAGAGTTAAGAAAAATGTTTTAAAAATGCTTAAAAAGGTTTTATATTAATAAATAAATTGAAATAATGAAAAAAACAAAAGTTTCTTTCAGAGAATGATCAATTGGGTTGTTGATACCGAAGAAGTAGATACTGATTTAGGAGAAGATGATTGTTGTCAAATACGATCTGCAGGTAAACAAAAAATAAAATAAGGAAAACTTTTTTTTTATTATATAATTCTTAGGTCATACTGTACATGAATGGACATCATATACAGCAATCGATGCAATTTTTGATTTTTTTACTGAACAACGTCGAAAACTTAAACAAAATTGATAATATTCACTTGTGATATAAGACAAAAACAAAATAGATTTGAATGAAAATTTTGTTTTGTGATAAATATTAATTAAGAAATATTTTATATATATATTGATTGTCTTAGTATAGTACATTTCACTTTTAGATGGTTAAATCGACGAATCGACCATTAAATATATTTTTCTTTAAGGTATACTTGTTGATTTTGCTTCTTCGAATCAATGTGGTTTAGCACCAGGTTTTCAATCACTTTATAGTATTTTACAAGCAACAAAAACAAAAATGGGTAGTCGAACATTACGAGCAAATTTAATGGAACCTTTGATTGGTATGTAATATAATAAATATTTTTAATTTTCATCTTTATTAATATATAATAGATGTTAATTCTATTCATTATCGACAAGATGCTGTTGAAAATTTAATTGATGATGAAAAATTAATGTTTCAAATACAAACAATACTTTTACATTTTACTGATGTTGAACGTACGGAGGAAAAAATAAAAGATTTTATTTTCGATTAAGTTTTTTTTTTTGTGCTTCAGGTATTATTCTTGCGTGTATACAAGAAAATCCAAGTCGTACAGTATCAGCTGCTGAAAAACGTATTACAATGATAAATCAACTTCGACGTATTCTTGATATATTACCAACACTTCAACAAGCACTTGAACAATCGACTTCTGATCTTTTAAAAAATCTTTGTTCAGTAAAAAAACAAAATTTTCATTTTTTGTATTAAATAAAAGTCATTTTTGTAGATTTTAAATGATCAACGTTTTCAAGTTATACTTGATATTCTTAATTCACAATTAACAATAGAACAAACTGTTTCAAGTAATGGATTTCTTGCAACTAAAATTCGACGAATTTTTTCTATACGAGTAAATTATTAATTAAAGTAAAATTTGAATTTTGAATTAAGACTAAATTGAGAAAATGTTTCTATTTAGAATAAATGAAAAAGTTTGCATATATGATTAGTTAAAAATTATAATCTGTTGGAGTCATTGTGAACTTCGATATTCTCACGGTTTTGTTTTTTTTATATTAAAACTGTAATCAATTGTATATTTCCAGAGTGGTTTTGATGAACGTCTTGATAGTCTTCGTGCTGATGTTATTGTTGTTATTGATGATGTTGAATGTAAGTTTATTTAATGAATTTCATTGGTATTATTTTGTAAAATTTTCTTTGAATAGTATTGGAAAAAGAATTTTCTGAACGATTTAATATGCCTGTTCGATATAATTTAACAAATGCACGTGGTTTTTCATTAGAAATTATTGGTGAATTTAAAGGTATTTTACCGGCTAATGTTATATCAGTAGCTAAAAGACAAAAATCAACATTTATTACAACACTTCAATTAGCTCATCTATCTGATCGATTTGAACTTTTATATAATGATATATGTCTTCTAACAGACCAGTAAGATAAAAAATAAAATTGTTTTTATATTTTTCTCAGAATGACTAATGAGCGAGCCTCTTGAGTTACTCTCTTCCAATTTCAATGATTTTTTTTTTGTTTATAAATACTGCATAGTGTTCTGATAAAAGCCTAAAAGGATTTGAATTCCTATTCAGATTTGATTAACCCATCGATGTTTTAATATGTTTATTTTCTAGAAATTTTAGATTTTTTGAAAAACTCGTATTTAGAACTCAATTCGATTAGCTTCCATAATAAAATTCAGAAATTTAGAACAAAGCCTTTTCAAGATATGAGATCCTTTTCTTCTCTAGCCTAGTCAACTTTTCAAAGGAACAAGGCCATCACGGCCGAGTAGCTGTGCTGTTCGGCACGTATGTAATAAATACTGTGTCCAAAACGCAGTACCACCAGCCATTGAATGACCCTGGACAAGTCACGAACAACCGTTTAACAGAATGGTGACTAAGTTGTGACATATATGTGCCCTAATGGCTAGTATGTGATTCCTCAGTGTGTACAGAAAGTTTAAGCGATTGAGCGCACAAGATACTCGAAAGGCGGGGGAGTGTATTCTTTCAATAGAAATCCAAATCCTTTTAAAGAATACTATGTAGCGTCTATAAGCAAAAAAATCATTGAAGCCGGAAGAGGACATTTGAGGAAGTTTCCAGCTGCACACAAGACTGAAAAATTTCACGTTTATTTAAACGAGTCTATCATATTCCTACAGATTCATCTGAAAATTCGACAGATGATTTCATAAATGAAATATTTATTTATTATTATTGAAAAATATCAATCTTGAATATCTTCCCCTAATAGTCTCTTCTAGACTTTATGATTACAAAGACTTACAAATGTTGAAAAATCTTACTCTTTTTATTTTTTTTTCGTTTTACTTTAGAATTATTTTAATTCTTCTTGCAAAAATTCGACCACATTTTGGTTGTATGTATAGACTTATTGAAGCCATATCAATTATCGATATGATTCAATCATTTGCTGAAGTTTCAAAAGCACGTGATTATGTTCGACCTATGTTTGGATTAAATACAAAAGTAATCAAAGGACGTCATCCAGTTATTGATTTATTTGGTCAACAAAAACCAATTGCAAATGATATTGAATTATGTAAAGAAATGAATATTATTCTTGTTACAGGACCAAATATGAGTGGAAAATCTACATATCTTCGACAAATAGCTTTATTACAAATTTTAGCTCAAATTGGTAAGAACAAAAAAAAAAAAGCATGAAAATTTATAAAATAGAAAAAATATTTATTTATTTAAAGGTTGTTTTGTACCTGCTGAACAAGCTAGATTTCGAATTGTAAATAGAATTGAGTTTTTTTTTGTCAAATAGAATCAAAGAATTTTTTTGTTTAGGTTAATGAAATTTTTTCAAAAATTCGTCAACATGATAATTTATTTACTGGACAATCAACATTTTCATCGGAAATCAATCATATTGCATTTATTCTTAATTGTATGACACCAAATTCAATGATTATTCTTGATGAAGTAAATACTATATAATCCTTTCTAAAGTGAACATATAAAAGAAAGTGTTATGTAACTTGTTTAGAACTATTAATTTGTGCTCAAAATGTTGCTCCGTTTCTATTGATATAGAAAGTATGGAGATGGGATTAGAGGTATAAGTCGCCGTTGTGGTACCAAAAAAAAGCTTTTAACTGGCTTTTTATGATTTAAAAGAAATTAAAATCACATGAAATCTATCTTTGAAGATGGAAACCAATTTTTAATCAGCTCAATTAAGAAATGATCGATTTTAATCGAATTTTTTCTGTATGAATAAGTAATTTTTTAGTAAAGTAACTCGAACTAGAGCATGTGCATTAAAGGATGATCTAGTGTTGTGTTTACCATTTGTTGAATCGAGAAGTCTGAGAAACTTAAAAATTTTGAGTTTCTAAATTAAAGCTCGAGAAAAGCACATTTTACAATCACCAAAATCGATCAGATATTAAATAATCTGATTTAAATTAGACTAAATCTTTTTCATTTCACAATCTCTTGAAACCAAGAAAATTTTTAAAAATGTTGTCAAAAACGTCTAGCCACTCCTGCCGACCAACTCATCCGCTTACACTTTTTGATAGAATATACTTTTGAGACAATGGGAAACATAGTTATTTTTCATTACAACTGCAAATAGCCACCCCTAGCAGCAACACACACATGAGACTTCTTGTAGTTCTTTTTTTTAGAACTTTTCATTCATCGCTCAGACATTTTGTTTTTGTTCGGGGATTTTTCGAATATCGAGACAGGAATCGGAAAATGTGTTTGCATCCGAGAAGTTCATTTCCAGCAAAAACAGTCCGGGATTGGAACCGAAAAAATTTAATTTCGCGCATGTCTAGTCCGAAAGGATCGGCAAGTGGTTTTACTTGATATGATTGAACTCAAACAATAAATTCTCTTCTCATATTTAGATTTGTTCAAGTACATCAACAAATGAAGGTATAGAAGGAAAATGAAAAAATTATTCCAAAAATAAAAATATGATTGTTTTTAAGGTCTTGCTTTAGCTACAAGTATAACTGAAACATTATGTCGTTCACAAGCATTTGTTATTATAGCAACACATTTACAACAATTAACATCTGTTGGTTATATCTATCGAAATCTTGCTAATTATCATTTTAATGTTATTTATAATGATAAAATAGGTAGTGATACTGATAGTGATTCAATAAATCGTGTACGTCGTTTTCATCCACAAACAATACTTAATCAATTAAAAGAACAAAATACAATTATTTATTCCTATACACTTCGACCAGGAATATGTAAAGATCTTCATTATGGTAATAAAAAAAAAAACTCAGTATTTTTATAATATTTCCGATAAGAAATTGTATTTGAAATTATTTTTTTTTTAGGTATTGCTTTAGCTTCACAAATTGAAGATTTACAAACAGTTGTAGAATTAGCTAAATGTGTAGCGAAATATTATATTCGAAAGAAAGAGGTATTATATTATTTTCTTTTTTTATAAATGTGTAAAAGATCCTATGAAATTTTCTACTAATTTGTAATTCTTTACTGATATATATTATAAGCTTATCAAATTATATTCTTGAATCTTGTCAACATGAATTGCGTTTTCTATCTACGACACTAGATATGTCAACGTACGACGTTAATAAAAACAAAAACAAACTTGTCAATAGAAACTCTATGAAATTGATATCTGAAACGTCATGCCATTGTTGTTATTGAAAATAAGAAGTTAAAATAACATCTGATATAGAAGATATTAATTGATATATGTCACAATCTGTATAGAAAAGATATATATAATAAACATATCAGTATATGTAAGATATAAATTAATAAAGATTTATGTCAAATTGTATTGTATTTCGTTCTATAGTGAGTAACTCATTAAGAATAAAGCTTTCGATTAATAGTTAATACATTATTCATTACTATATGTTATTATCTGAAATCTTTCTTTACTTTGTATTAATTTCAGTCAATAATAAATCAAATGTCAAATATTCCAAATTTACTAATGAAACGTGTAATAATAATGAAAGGTTTTTGTGATTTAATTTATGATGTATCAAATAATACAATTCAATTTATTGAACAACAACGTATTTATCTTGAAAATTTTCAAAAACGTATGCATCAATATTGGTCAATATCGTCAACAACAACATCATCATGTGATGATGATGATAATGATATTTTAGTTGAATCACCAACAATTGAAAATAATTAAGATTTTGTAAATGTTTGTTATTTTTTTTTGTTTGCTTAACTTATTTTTTTTATATGTGATTATAATAATAGATACATATATATATATAGAGAGAGAAATAAATAGTAAATATTGATATTATTTATTATGAATAAATCAATTCATTTTTGAATATTTTTTTGTAAATTGAGAAAGGATATTATGAAATTAATGTTGTGTTGATGTAATCGGATCTGCCGAATTACTACCAGTAAGAGAACGTCAGAGACTGGATTCAAGTACTTTCTTCTAATCGCCCTAATACTTTTTCTCTCTTCCATAGATATACAATCATAAAACTCATTAGACACATCTTATCAACAGTTACAAAGCAATAGAATTTGTTTTTTTGATATAACCTTCTTTTCAATAGAAAAAAAACAACAGTGCATAAATTCCGACTTAAAATTTGTAATGTATTTTCAAGTTTTTTCTCTCATAAAAACAGATCTCAATAAAAAAAAATTAATGGTACCGTTTCGTAGGCGCGGGTATGACATATCAAATGAGTTCTATGGTTACATATGAAAGAAAGTACATACTATGTCCAGTCTCTATAAAAAGTATTGTTGTTGCTATTAGTGAACAACTTATTATCCATGTAAACATACAATTGAATGTATGAGGAATTATATTACGAAATTCAATTGTTGAAGAATGCTAACTAAGATCATTAAAAATTTACAATCGAGACATATATAATATGATTGATAATAATGTCAAATTGTACAAGAAAATATATATCAATATCAAAACTATACAGACAATGAAGTGTACATGTTATTGATCTTTATTCAAAAGTACTTGTTGCTGTAAAATAAGTATTAACAAAAAAAAAAAAAAGATATCAATAGAATATATTGTCATTGAGTCAATGAATTTATTTTAATGAGAATAAATCTATGACAAAATATATGGACATATATGTCAGATTGGTTTTTATGTTTATCGTAGTTGTTTTAAAGAGAATAATTTGTCATAAGAATGAATGAAGTTGTTATATGACGGACAGAGAATACTCCTTTCTAGTATTAGTCCTTGCATATTTGTCTGGTAAGTAGAAGATACAAGGTTCAATTCCTTGTGAAAAGAAGCTTTTTCTTTTTGTTTCTTTCTACTATTGTCATTCCATTACATTGTTACCTTCATTAAACATTTTGTGAAAGAAAAATTAATGACATAGTGAATATATTTTGAGATATCATAGAGGATATTGTCTATTCTTTAAACTTCTTCTCTTTTTGCTTTTTCTTTTGTTAGTAAATAACACATGTCATTAAGTTTGTCATATATCATTGTCAACTACTAAATCACATCATTTGTTTATTTCTAATGTGATCACGTCTTGTAGTTAGTCGCAAATTCTTTTTTTTTTTTGTGTTGCTATTGTCTGTCTTTTGACAAAGTACTATTGTCAAGGTTATTTTTTTTCTATGTAGAGTTACCGTGAGTCATCAACGCCATTCCATTCATCATTATCGATTAGAATAAATCAAAAAAAAAAAAAAAAGAAAAGATAAAAAATCTGTTCTTGAGCACTCTCGTTTTCTTATATCTTATTGCTTATGCACATGAACGCATGAATGACAACACACCTTTAGGATAAGATCTAAGACAACTAGTACATAATGTGCAACAGCTTCTATCAGGGTCAAAATATATATATGTAACTGATGATTTGATAAGTGCTTAGTATTGATACATAAGCGATTCATATTTATTTTGATTTCTATATATTAAAAAAAACAATCTCTTAAATGTATTTACATTTTAATCATTGTCATTGGCATAGAGACAAAAGAATTTTTGTCATTTGATTATTCAACTAAATATCATGATCGTCTTATATTCAAAAAAAAAAACATGAGAATTATCTATTGGGAAATCTATTTACAACAGTTTCATATAGCGTGTACATTTTAACTAATGAACTACCATTAGAAAAATTCTTTTACACAACATACAATTGTATTGTTCATTATTCATTATATCAAAATACAAAGAAACATTTGTGCTTTTATTTACTATATATATATATTAATGAGTCTGGTTTAGTATGTATGCATACAATTGGCTTGATATTGAGCATTGACATGTTATTTGATTGTGTTGTCGGAATATTTATTTATAAAGAATGTGATATGATGAAGCTTGAAGGGCGGTCCATCATATTTGTCTACAATTCATTTGAACTTTGATTATTCTCTGTTTTTTTTCTCCCTAACATAGAAATAACATCATCATCATCATCATCATTATTATTACCGTACTCAAGTTAGAACAACATTGACAAGCAACTTCGAGATAGAAGAAAAGAAAACGATGGTCAATCAACCACGCATTTGCCACTTGTGTTGATTCAATTTACAAATCCTTTCTATAGGATAAATTGCTTTTCCTTTCTTATGTAGATTCTTCTCTTGACAATTATCTTGATATCTTGATACCTTCAACTCAACACATCATTCTCTTATACTTCTCATCTATCATCACTATCTGTCTATCTTTGTTTATTGCCTTTTTTTTTTCTACAGACATAAAAAAAATTCTTTTGTCTTGGCTCCTGTTTCTATATAACTATATTGTACGTACAATGTTTTTTTGTGGCACCACATGCCAAAGAATCAATGACGAGAGAAGAAAAAAAAAAAGAAGAAGAAGAAATCAATTGCTTGCATCGTACGTAATCATTCGTGCTATCGTACTATTGCAGCTAGTCCTAGTGCCGAAAGAAATTTTCTCCTTCATTTCTCTCCTGATCGTTTGATCATCCATATAATCATGATCACTCAATAGTATGAACATATAATAACAATAAATCAGGTGTGTAATAAAAAGGAAATAATTAGATTTTGGTTGAATAAATATTCGAATTATATTTTGTTTGTTGTCTATCTTTGAAAAAAATGAATAACATTTAATCTAAGAGCATATTTTGATATTAATGTATGTTTTTGTTCTTTAGATCATTATGATGAATAACATCATTTTAATATAATGTTTTTATTTATTTTTATTTATTTATTTCTTATTAATACAACATTATCTTTATTATTATCAAATACATACATTTTTTCAGCAAAATCTAATAGTTATGTAGCATTTGATTCTTGGCATCCATGTCTTAAAGGTTATGTTCGTTTTGATATACGAACAAATACACAAGATGGTACACTTGCATATATTGATGATCGTGGAAAATTTGATTTTTTTTATTTAAAATTAATTGAAGGTAAACTTCGACTTTTATTTAATTTGGGTAATGATCGACAAGCTTTAAATGTTAATATGAAAATCAATGATGATAAATGGCATACAATATTAATTAAACGTAATGGACAAACAACAATTCTTAGTATTGATAATGGATTAGGACAAAATTCAACAATAACACATTCAGAAGATTTATATTTTGGTGGTGCTATATATAAAGAATATCAAGCATCACCATTTTATTTTGGAGGTAATGACAGTTACCCTATCAACATGTTTTACTTATCTGACAATGATATTCAAATGATGTTGACAAGAGATATCCGTTTTTTGAATCGATGAAATATAGGAAAAGTTGTCTTTGACGATTAGTTTCGGACGAATGAAGATGAATCGATGAGTGATTTTTTTTTCTTAATTAAAAAAACTTAGTCATGTTAACGAATGACAATTTTGGACTCCGATATGAGAGAACATCTATAGATTATATTTAAACCTTTTATTATTATAAAACGAATTACTTTTCTTATGATTCTAATCAACATAAAACTTGCATACTATTTCTAGTAATGCAAAAAACTTTTTCTTTTATCTAAATTTAATCTTGAAGCAATAGTCTATAACATGACATAATAAATTTTTCAAATCTTATTTCTACAAGGAATCAATAACGACATTCATTGACGTACAATCAAAGTACTGTTTAATAGATAGATTATATTACCGATAATATCTATTACTCAAACAGATAAGAATTTCTGATAACACGCTTAGACGCTTAAATTATGGTTCTCGTTTTCATGTCTATTCAGAAGATAATCAAAGACAGTTATTTTTTATTATAAACGATGCGTGAGTATTCTTAACAAGGCAACTTTTATATCTAAAAGCATGCAAAATAAAAAAAATTTTCTCGTGATATTTTGACCTGCTTTGCAGATAAGAAGGATCTTTTTTTTTTTAATGCGCGGTGTATGTTAATATATATTATGAGAAAACTTTTTGGACGTTTTCCAGATACAAAAAAAGTTGTCTTTTTAAGCGTCTTCATGCTTCTTAGATGAAGAAAATAACTGGTTGTAGTATTTTCTGAATAGACGTGAAAATACATTTTCAGAAATTCCTGTCTGCTTAAGTAGATGGTTTTCAATTATATATTTTTTTTCTTCAGGTATTCCATCGGTGTTAGAACGACCAAGCTCAGGAAATTTATCTTCATTTGATGTTTATATGCAACCTCGTTTTCGTGGGCAATTGCGCAATTTAGTCTATAAAAACTGTACGGATTCTCGTCTTGTTCAACCTATTCCAATTGATATACCTGATGGTGTTTCATTAGTTCCAAATCCATATTGTTCACCATCGATTTGTGGTATGGGTATATGTTTAATAAATGATAATACATATAAATGTCTTTGTGATGAAACATCTTATCAAGGACCAAATTGTCAATATGAACGACAACCAAATGAATTAACATTTAATGGTAAACAATATTTAAAATATGATTTAATTAATATAATATTAAGTTTAAGTGAAATAATAACATTTGAATTTAAAACAAATCATTATGATGGTGTTTTATTTCAATTAATTGATTCATATATATATATTAAATTAAAACAAGGACAATTATTAGTAGAATATCGTTTTAATAATTCATGGTATGAATCAACAACAAAAAATCTTTATTTAATTGATAATCAATGGCATTATGTACAAATTAAACGTAAATATGGACAAATAACAATACTTATTGATCAATATTATTTAGATTTTGAAATTGATATTAAAATTGATCAATTATTTAATTTTACACAAATACTTATTGGTGGTAATAATGATTTAAATTTAGAAAAATTTCATGGTTGTTTAAAAGATATTTCAATTATATTTAATGAAAATTTAACAATTGATTTTAATCGATCATTAATAAATATTTATGAATATGATTTAATAAAAAATTTAAATTGTAAATCATTAATAAATCCTATACAATTTCTTTTATCATCATCATCATCATATATATCATTTGAATTAGAAAATTTTTCTTATAATATGAATATATCATTTCGTTTTGAAACATATTCATCAAATTGTATTATTTTATATAGTCAATCAAATCAAGATTTTCTTGGTTTTGATTTAATTGATGGATTTTTTTTTCTAACATTAAATATAAATAAAAAACAACAACGACAAGAATTATTTCAACAACGTTTTAATGATGGACAATCACATTATATTCAATTAGAATTACGAACTTATCAAATTGGTTTAGAATTAAATATTATTATCGATTATAGACAAAATACAAGAGTATCAATTCCAAGTTCATCATCAACAATAAATGTAAAGTTTACTTATTAAAAAAAAAAATTTAATCGATCATTTGATCACATGGAGCTGAAAGTTTCTAGACAAAATCTTTGATTATTTTTCACGTATTTAAATGCGATATATATATATACTAAGAATTTCTCTATAACTTTTGGCTACTGAACTATAAGTGAATCTTGGAAATAGGGTTCAGTATGAAGACGATTTTTCGCAGCTGAACCTCGGCCAGCACTTATTTTTCTATACCCAGTACCCGACCGAAGCTCATCGATATCCGACAAATACTTTCACAGTCATAGTACAGTTTTCAAACTTTTGTTTTGTATGAAAAAATATATGATTTAATTCCTTCCATAAACAATCCTCTTCATGTATTCGATGACTTTGTCATACGATCCATCGTTATCTTTAGATGAATTTTCATTGAAAAAAAAAGAAATTCTTTGAGTAAAACAATATCGCTTGCTGCTTTCTGTTATCTGTTCGCAAGTAAATAAGTTATGCGATCATGCGATATTCACTTCTATGCCATTTATATAAATTAGCAATTTGAAAAACTAAAAATATTTTGAAATATCGATCATCTCATTAATTGCCGAGTACGCGACACGATTGCAGAACACTACTTGGAAAGACTCAACATTTTTTTTTTGGAGAAAAAAACCTTCCAATGGAACTTGTCTGCAAATGTATTGGAAGATATAGAAAATAATTTTCTCTACAAAGCGATAAATCTTTTTGTTAACGTTGAGGTGCATCAAAGGCTTTTATAAAGTCTATTGAAAATAAATGATTATTTTTGCCCTTTTTAGCGTAAAATGATTCTCCGTCGAAATTCTGCTATCTTTTGGAACTTATTTGATGTAGATTTATCTTCAGAAAAATAAGATTTTTGTCATTCTGGAAAAAAGCGCAGTTCTCACTTTTTTTTTAAATACGCGAAAAATAATCAAATATTTTCTCTAGAAAATTTTGACTTATTCCTCACCTTGCGAACATTTAGAAATAGCCTTCTATCTCTTCATTAGCTATTGAATTGTGCATTTCGATAAAAGATAACCTTAATATAAAGTCCATCTTGTTCATTTTTATAGCTGTCTAGATCAAATGTCAGACGGATAATCTAAAAAACTAGCAAGAGCATTAGTTTTTTTTTCCCGAAAAAAGTGTTGACACTCCATTTTAGTAGCATTAAACTACGTCCTATGAATTATACCCGCATCTTTCTAAGAAGCACTGCGGGTAATTGGAAGTCTTTTTTTTTTTAAGATATAAAATTATACCTCTACCTTCTCAGAAAGATGGATAATATAATGTTATATCTCCATTACTTTTTGTCTTTTTCTGGATGCTATCAGCATCGAATTCTTTCATATTATGCTTGTTTTACTGAGTTTTTTAACAAAATATCGTCGTTCTCCTAAAATTACCTTCAAAATTGGCTTTCGAAGTTCGAGTTCAAAATTTTGCACAACTTCTCTATACCAAGGCCAATGACTCAGCCGCCCAAATCCATGAAATTTCGGTGGAAAACTCAGGATATTGATAGGAATTTCGAAGCAGTTTTGGAAAACTCACCAAATATTGTCATAACTCAAAAACGAAAGATCAATAGTTTTCGACTTTCTCTAATCTCAATATGGTCTATCTCATCAGATTAAACTTCTGTTACAATCGATTTATCATCTCGATAAGATTGCCTTGTGAAATATGTAATATAATATTTTTATTCTTGTATAATAATCATAGATACCTATATAACTTCTAGCTTATTCACTTTATCATAGATCAAGGTTTTGTTTTGTTTTTTATAAATAAATACATTTTTCTAGTTACATACACTAACAATTGGTGGTGTTAATCCAGCAATACAATGGTTACCAACTAATTATTTTTCTGGTATAATGCATCGTGGTTTAATTGGCTGTTTTTCTGATCTTGAAATTAATAATGAAATAATTAATTTAGAAAAATATATTAATTATACAAATAATAATAATAATATAGTACCAAAAAGTGGTCCATGTTCAACAATATTATCAACTAAACGTCAATGTTTATGTGAACATAATGGTGAATGTCGAGTAAATAAAGCTGGTATATGGTCATGTGATTGTTCAAAAACTGGATATACTGGTCGACGATGTGAACAAATTGCTTATCATTTAGATTTAAGTCAAATTCAAACATTTGAATTAAATACAAATATACAATGGAGTGAACATATTAGTGATATTTCATTTCGATTACAGGTAATTAATCTTTTTTTTTTTCTCTCTATTAAATTATTTTAAATATTTTATAGGCTATTCATGATGAAGAAGATTTTCTAAAAATTCGTTCATGTTCATTATCATCAAAATGTGATTCAATTAATTTTTCTATTCGTAATGGTTATATACATATTTTTTTTTATTTATTAAATATAACAATTGATTATCCATTTATACTTGATAATCAATGGCATTTTATATATTTACAACGTATTGATACAAAATTTTTATTACATATTGATAATCATATAATACAACAACGTTTAAATATAATTAATTTAAATATATCTTCATTATCAACTATACGGTTAATATTTTATGGTAATAAACAAATTCGTATAGAAGATTTACGTTTATATGATCAATCAATTTATTCAAAATTTTTTCTTAATAATCAATATAGACAAAATATTCAATTAAAATATCGATCATGGAAACCATTAAATACGATTTCATTTTATGATTATCAAAATTCGTCTATAGAAATTCAATTAAATGAATTTCTTTGTCAAGAATGTCAATTAGATACTATCTATTTTCAATTTCGTACAATAGAATCAAATGGTCTTCTTTTATTTGCGAATATTCAAACAAAGAATCCTAAAAGCAGGTATATTTTATAGAATTTTAATTGCATAAATTTTAGATTTTTTTTTTTGTATATGTTTCGAAGTATTCTCTATCTACTGAACATATTTTAAGAATCAATATATAATTCTAAAAGTTAGAAAATATGGAATATTTTCGCTAAAACAAAAACATCAGAATTTTCACATTATTTCGTTGTTTTTCAAAATTGAGTTGTTTGAGAATCGTTCCCGTTTCTTTACCACAGTACATCTGATTGAACTGAAACTTTCTTCTACTTATAGTATAAAGTGTCTACTCTTTTCTGTTTCAAAATATGATGTACTACTGGTATTTGACAGAGTTTACAAAAGAAAGCTGTTAGCACAATTCTCGCAGGATTAGAATATGAAACACGATGTAGCTACTGTATCTAATCACAGAGAGACAGTTCTATTCAATCTATTTTTGGACACATATCTTCACCCTTCTTTGACTTAATCCTTCAGATATACAATGAGAAAGTAGTTAATACAGTGTAACAGGTTGTTATTGATATACGATCTGTCATCGCATATCAATAACATCTGTCACGGCCTATGTGGGAAGTCCAAATTTCTACCCTTTATACTTCAATACTTCTTTTAGATTATGTTTCATAAAAACATAGATATTTGAGAGTATGCCTTAGTATTATGTCTATGGACAAAATTTTAGGTGAAAATGTCATAATTTAATGTAGGTTCGTATGAAAGTATTGATCTTCGTTTTCAACTTTAATTAATAAGTGATAGATAATTGATATCAATTTAGATCTAAATCTTTTATTTTTGTTTTTTGTTTCCTTCAAGTTCTTTATCAGACAATTCAATCAATAAAAGCAATCAATATCTAATATTAAAACTGATCAATGGTCAACTTCAATTAACAATTGTCGAATCATCACTAACTACAACTAATGATGAAATTTATCAAATTCAAACAAAACTTTATCTTAATAATGATCATTGGCATCATATATTTTTTCATCGTGCTAGTGATTATCATTTAGAATTAATAATTGATTCAAATGAATATTATCTTTTAAAATCAATATATTTTCTTGATAAAATTTATTTTGGTCGTCCATTAAATATTCCTTATTTAGATCGTATTTCAACAATAAAAGCTTGTTTTGCATCTTTAACAATCAATAGTCATTCAATAAATTTACGTGAATATATTAAATCAAATTCGCCAATTCGAAATGATTGTTTTCTTAATTCTCAATGTCCATTAAAACAATGTCAAAATACAGGAATTTGTCGTGATCGTATTCAATGTGATTGTCAACATACAAGTTTTCAAGGAAAATTTTGTACAAATTTAAAATTAGGTTATTCTTTTAATGATTATACACCTGGTTTAATATTTGATCAACCATTTCTATATGAAAAAACTTTTTCAACATATCAAATTTCATTTGGTATTGTAACAAAAATGAAAAAAGCTGAAATAATTCATGTAAATGATCAAATATCTATTGATTTATATAATGGATTTATAAGAATAAAATTAATTGAAAATGAATTTATACAAAATGATCAATCAATTAATGATGGTTATTATCATTTAGTAAAAATTCAATATAATAATACAGGATATTTATATTTAAATGTTGATAATAAATTATTAATAAAACAATTAAAAAATAAAATATTATTTGATAAACCATTATTATTATTAATTGGTCAAAATCCAGCATTTAGATATCCGTTTCAGGTATTGAAGTCTATTGAAAATATTCAGTTCAAAATTTTATTATAAAGAATATGAGAACCAAAGAAACTATGCTGCGATCTGAAATCAATCGATAGAAAAATCATTTCTCAGTGGACCCCTTTGAAGCCTACTAGGTTGGAAATAATATTTTGTCAGGAAGGAGAGAGGCACCGCTATAATTTCAAATAGAGTAAATTATGAATTTTATACCAAACGAAAGTCCGTCAAAAATAGGGTTTATTGATACTAAACAATAAAGGTTATGAAAACTTTCGTATGTTGAAACTCTCGAAGTTTAAAGAATTTTGCATAATGCAATTGTTCTAATTCATTTTTACCGAGTTGTAAAATAAAGAAAAAAACAAAAATTTTCTTTGAAAAAACTGAAAAGAGCATTGTTCTAGTGATTATAAGACCTAACTATGATGCAGAAGGTGCGATTGTCTTTTTACATTCTGTTGTCTGTTCCTTGTAGTATATAAGGTCATTTTCTGATCAATATCTTTCATAAAAAAATCTATCCCTTTGGTGAATCAATTAAATCTAGTTATTTTAAAATGGTTTGTACTTATGATACTGAAGAACAGAGAATTATCGATAGAATTAAATGTATCGTTTTTCGTGAAGCTCGAGATGCTGATGCAACGTTTATTAATCGACATTGGGTCGCGAAGAAAGTTCATCGCTCGATTCGATGTGTTACAGACTGGTGAGGAAAAACTATATGATCAATGTTTTGCTGATTATTCAAATTCTGGACTTAAGCTTAAATTATCACAAGCAAGTCAAGACATCATCCTTAAAGCGAGTGATCGACAAAGAAAAAGTTGTTCTATTGTGTTGAAGGAAATTGTAGAAAATTAAAAAAACTACATCGTTCCAAGAACAATCAACAACTACCGTCATTGAGGAAGTTTAAGGCCGTTCCATGTTATTCTAAAACCATTAAAATCGGATCGATTATGGATGTGCGATTGGTTAAAACATTGGACTGGAGAGGATTTTCTTCATCTCGTACAAACTGATGAATTTTTTGTCTAGGTTTTTTGTCGACCAAATTATCAGAGTGATCGAATTTAGGCAAAACGTATCGACGACATTGAAGTAGATAAACATTATCGTGAAATGGTTAAATATCAAGCATGTATTGGATTTTGTGTTATGTTTACTGCTAAGAGATTCCATTAGGTAATCAAAAGATAGAAGTGAATTTCGGACTGACCAATATTTTCGTGGTATAATTTTAACTGAAAATGTATTTCCGCTCTTAAAAAAAATGAAGAAAATGTTATCGATCCCGATGAAGTTATATTTGTCTATGATAAAGCACTATAAATCATTATATTTACTCTATTTGAAATTATAACGGTAGCCCCTAGCAAAATATTATTTCCAACCTAGTACAAATCAACTAAATGATGTATTGACTAGTCTACCTAAGTCAAACAGGCACGGCCGCATACGGCGATTTACAAAAGAAAAAAAACACATTCGTTTACTGCTTTCGCACACAATCGTAATAAGTATGCTATTATGAGTAATTAAAGTATAGTCTCACGCCGAAACATTTTCAAATGATCAATTAGTTTTGAGTCGAAACTATGTGCATCATTAAGATTTAGATGAGCTATGAATACTCTGAAAAGAGTTCGTGTCTTTAGCTTATTGCTATGGAGATATTGAAATTTTATAGTATTTTTTAAGTGAACGTTGTGATAATTGATTTTTGAATTTCGACTTAAAACTTTTCATAAGCACCGGACTTAATGAGAGTAGTTACAAGTCTTTTGATTTGCTTCCATTCTGACAAAAGAAGATCGATTTATTAAGAACACGCTTTTATTGTAGTTGTATCTTGAGATAGGGGCAGCGACAGAATCTGAAATGTTCACTCTAAAACTCGTCTCTAATAAGTTGCTGTTGGCATACCTGGATTGAGATATTCGAATTTTAAGGAATTTACAGTGTATGTAACGTACTCATAAATCAAAGTTTTAGCAGAAATTTTCTTTCGTTATATTTGAATACAATTCATCAAGTTCCGTGAGAAAAAATATGTTTGAAATTTTGAAAAAAAAACATATTTTTACGAAAATCAAAATTTTAGGTGTGTTTTCCCTTATACTTGAAAATAATGGTATCTTCCACTTTTACGAAAGAAATTCTTGATAGTTTGATGATGATAAGCTTTAATTCGACCCGGTTACTCATAAAGCAAACACCTTCATTATTAGTGCTATAGTAGAATTCTGTGGGACCAACTTTTTTCCGGTCTCATCCTGTTTTTTATTTTCAAAATGTCCTATACCGGAAATTTTTGGGACTATTCCACAGAACTCTATGCATCAAATCGTTAGATATATATTGTCTGATTATGTTCTATCTATATTATAAACTAACGTTAGTTGTAACGTTTCTTGCTCTTAATGAACTTTATCTATTGATTAAAAATTTGTAAAGTTTCTTTTCGAACTGAATTTAAAACAGCAAGTTTTTTTTTTTTCTTCGATACTGCAAAAAGTGAAATACGTTTTTTTTTTGTGTCTTCTTAGGGACACTTGTATGGACTTGAATCTGATGTCTATTCTATATTTGATTTGATTTCACCAACATTCCAACGTATTTCATTCGCACCAATTCGAAATAAATCTCTTTCTTCTTCTCCATCTTCTTTTTTTTCGTCAATTATTTATCCATCATCACAAATAGAAAATGATTTAATATACTCATCATGTTCATATCAACCTTATGACGATATTTGTATAATCACATCAGACACAAATTCTAGTTCATTATCATATCCTGATATAACATTTCAATCATCTTTATCATCATCTTTTCCTATACGAATCTCATTTGAATCTACAAGTACATCATTATTTCAAAATTTCTTAACTTCAACATTAACATATCAACACTTGACTTTTTATACATCAAATACAACAGATCTTTATAATATTTCATCATTTATTATCTCAATAAATACATCTAATGTAAATCAATTAACAGAAAAATTTCATTGGAAAACTATTTTATTCATTATTATACTAATTCTCATTGGTATTATATTATGTATTATATTATTTATATGTGCTTTTATAAAATATCGTCGAAAAGATGCAGGTGTTTATGAACTTGAAGAGACACAACGTTTTCGACCGTTAATTGTTGAATTATCTCAATCACCCGGTGAAAATAATCAAGAAATATTAAATTCAACAACAAATATTTTAAAGAAATCTAATATCAAATCACATAAAAAACGAAAACGTAAAGACTCATTATTATTAAGATTTGATGAACAACGGGAATTTTATATTTAAATATTTCTCTTTTCTTTTTTTTTTTATAACTATTTTTCTTTTGCTTGTGAACATATAAGATAGATTTGGCCAAAAATAAATAAATAATCATTGTCAAGATAATTTCTTATTATTATCTATTCTAGTCTTTGCCTATCATACACACTATGTCAAAGAAAAAAAACCTGATTAGAACCAGCAAAAGATTTTATTGGTTGGTTGATAGATAACATGTTCGAATAACTACTTTTTCTTGAGTATAACAGAGATAAACATTTGAGTGACCTTTAAAATTGATTGAAAACAACGTTTATGGAAAAAAATAAAGTTTGTTAAAAGTAAAATGGTGAATTGACTGACTAGTTAATACAGTTCTTAGCGAGTTTTTTTAATTGATGATAGATAATGAATCAAAGAGAAAATCAAATGATGCTTTGAAAGTATTTATTTAAATCATGTTTATATCCATTAATTGAGTTCTCTTAGTAATTAATGTTGCAATGAGTAATTCACAGTTTCTTTCTGACTTCAATCATTCGATTGATCGAAACATAACTTTTCTGATTTACAGCGACAAAAATGAAGCCCTGGTTCCAGTATAGGATGGTTATCTTCTCAAGAGAAACATTTCATATTCAATCGTTTAACTTAAAAATATATAAATCGATTTATCTGTCAATCGACGTTGAAAGCTTTGCATCGAATTTTGTAGTTGAGTGAAACTATGTTCTCACATTGAGCTGTAGGAATAAATACAACCATACATTTTTTAGAAAGATCAAAAATGTTTTACTATCAAGTAAAAACTGCAAGTCGATTGGAATAGCAATGTTTTAGAAGTTGGTGATGTTCACAATATTATTACAAGTGATTTTTTTTGCTTCCTCTCCCTATCAAACTCATTCGATCAAAATTTTTATAAACTAAGACCATTATTTTTGTTCCAGCCTATCAGTTACAAAATATTAAATGAGTGTTAATCACCTCATCGATATTTGTTTAATTAAGTGAAAATTCAATGAAAGAAAGGTATAAATCAAAACAAAGATCAATTCTAATCCTATAATCAAGATAATTCACTATAGACATTTATTATCTATTTAATAAATTTTAATCATGTCGTCTGTCATTTTGAATGTATAGTTATTTAAAAGCTCATACTAATTACTAATGATTAATTTTGAATAAACATTCTATAGATCAATTCATTCTTACTTAATGTATCATTCAATCTAAACAAAAAAAAACCGCTCAACCCTCCTTCGCCCCAATCCTGACAGCATCAGGACATGTCTGATCTTATCTGTAATCTAATCTTGACGTTTTATATTGATTGAGAAATGCTTGTGTTGGCTATTTATATCAAAAGAAAAATCGAACTAGACATTATCTTTGTATTATAATTGAATTTGTCTAATAAATATTTGTAATTTTCATTATCTCATCTTCATTTTATTTTTAAAAAAATCATAATTGTTAAAATAAAAAAATATTCCATACACTAGTGATCTCTATCATGATAAAAAATAAATTTAAATCGTTTTTCTTTTTCAATATTATGAATGATCATTATTGTATTCATGTTTATGAGTTCTATAAATGACATAAAATATTAGTAACAAAAAAATGAATCATAGTTTTCATTTGTTTTTCTTTTTTTTATTATTCTCTCCTCCAGAAGAATAAATAATATATCGAACCAATCAATTATTGCTAAGCGAAAGAAAAACAACATGTTTTAACTACATGAAAATTCAATACTATTATGATTGATTTTTATTCTGCGAACATATAAAAAAAAACAATACGTAAATACACACGTTCTTATCACTTTTTCTCTTTTTGCTTATATATGTTATTTTAAATCAGTGGTAAAACACAGCTGTTGCTGAATCAATCTGAAATATTCTTTAATTGTATATTCTAGATAAATACATATGTTTGTGTCAATTAATAATATGTAATCAGTGAATAAAACAAACACAACCAAAAAATAAAATCTATATAAATAAAAAAAAATGGGTCAAACACTTTCTGGTAAAATGAAATTGGAATTCAACAAAAAATAGAAAAAAACTAATTAAATAATTATTTATAAATCTAGAACCTGTAACATCAAAAGATTCTGAAAAAGTAGAAAATCATTTATATTCAGTCGGAAGTAGTAGTATGCAAGGATGGCGTATAAGTAAGTTTAAATTTATTCATAATTTTATCAATGAAAGACGAAATTTATTTTTACAAAAATATAGATATGGAAGATGCACATACACATATTTTATCATTACCAGAAGATAAAAGTTGTGCATTTTTAGCTGTTTATGATGGTCATGGAGGAGCTAAAGTTGCACAACATTCATGTAAACATTTACATACACGTATTGCTAGCCAACCGGAATTTAGTTCGTTGTGTTTTTTTGTTTCTTTTTAATTAATTAATTTTTGTTTTTTTGTTTTTAGAACAAGGAAATATTGAAACAGCTATAAGAAAAGGTTATATTGAATTTGATAAAGAAATGGCTTTAGATGAAGAAATGCGAGAAGATTTAGCAGGAACAACAGCTATTTGTGTTGTTATTAAAGATGATAAACTTTATTGTGGAAATGTTGGTGATAGTCGAGCAATTGCTTCAATTAATGGTAGTGTTGAAATACTTTCAACTGATCATAAACCAAACAATGAAGATGAAAGAAAACGTATAACAGCTGGTGGTGGTTGGGTTGAATTTAATCGTGTTAATGGTAGAAAAAAAAAAAAAAAGAAAATTTTTTTCATTTTGAAATTTTATTTTCTTATGAAATATTTCATAATAGGAAATTTGGCTTTATCTCGAGCTCTTGGAGATTTTATATTTAAACGAAATACCGATAAACAACCTGAAGAACAAGTTGTAACTGGTGAAATTAAACAAAAAAAAAAAAAAAACTTGAATATTTATTTATTAAATAAAATTATTTTCATCTTTTTAGCGGCTCCTGATGTTGTTGTTAAAACAATAAATGAAAATTGGGAATTTATATTACTTGCTTGTGATGGTATTTGGGATGTACTTAGTAATGAAGAAGTTTTAAAATTTGTTCGAACACGAGTAGCTCAACAAATGCCACCGGAAAAAGTATCAATAGATTTCTTTATTTTTTTGTTTTTTTTTGAAACCAAAAATATAATCTGACATGTTGAGATTTGAAATAGGGTAAACATTTTTTGTCTCTATATCCTATCCTGCAGGATACGTCTGGTACTTTGAGTGAAAATGGAGAATTTTCAGTACAAGGCAAGTCAATGAATCATGTCCTGCAGAGTAAGGAGTTCTGATTTGAAACAAATATTTATTATCTTGTTATTTTTTAACTTTCTAAACAATGATTTAAAAAAAGAAAGATGCTACTCATGTCTATATGAGAGTTAAAGAGAGATGAGCGTAATCTTAATAACTCGGCAATGGCAGCAGCTAGTGACCTACAGTTTTCAGCAGTCGAAAGAGGAGAACTCTGAGCGTTTTATTTATCTGATACTATATAAAAATAAGCATCTTCACAAAATATTCAAAAAAAGAAATGATATTCCATTTGATTTTGATATGTGCTTTAGATCTGTAGTTTATTGATTTTTAGTAAATTTTTTGATATTTTGAGAAGATGTTTGATTTTTAATATAACTTTGTTTTATATAGTATCAGGTCAAAACATACTCGGAGTAGCAGCAGATCATTAACTATTGTCGTTGTCGAGTTATTGAACTGATATCTATTCGTCTTTAACTCTGACACGAACATTAGTTCTATCTAGTATAAGATACATTCAAGTCAATGATCTGTGGAAGTAATTTACATACACTTATTAATTCTAGGATATACAATTCCGATAGAAAAGTCAATCGACATTGTTAAATTCGAGCTAATTTCAATTCTAAACAACCTTGATGTTGTTCATCTCTATTCAATAGAGATTAGATGAGTATTTCATTGAAGCTTAACAGCTATAAGATGATAGAGGAAAGATTAATAACAAGGTATTTATATCAAGATTTCATAGATAAACTATGATTACCAACTTCGTTTTTTTTATTTTCTATGTTTAGTATGTAGATGTCCTCTATCTAATGAGCACAATTTAAGAAAATCTTTTCACATGTTAAAAACTCAATTTTATGCTAAAAAAGCCAAAAAAAAATGCAACTTTCTTTACGTTTTTCTCAAAAGCAGATTTTCAAATTAAAAAAAATTGAAGTTTTCCTCCTTTTTTTCCCTAAACAGTAAGGCCTATTGGGCATCAAACTTTTTTTTCTAAGTACTTCGATCAAATCGGGGTGTCTTTGTTTTTTCTTTTGAAAATATTATATCGATTAACTTTTGTAGATCTTACAAAATTACCACCATCCAAAAAAAAAAGGCTTTTTTTAATGATTTTTTTATAGTACCTCCAGTGTTTTGCTCTCCTGAGTCTCAGGTACAATATTTTTCAAAGAAAACAAAAAAGACACAATCAGATTTGTTTCTAGTTACCATACAAAAAAAAAATTTCAGCCCTAAAAAATATCGTGTGGCCTCTTTTGCAAGGAAGAAAACTTCAGGCCATTTTTAGCCTGTCAAAAGCTTCCGCTGTATTTTGGAAAGGAAGATTTCCTTAAAGAAAACAAAATGAGAGGTGACTGCATTTTTCACCATATTACCCTTTGAGACTTTTATTAGTATCAGCGATTTTTCTATCAATAAAATTATTATCTATTATAAATATGATTAGTTCGAAGTATCAAAAAAAAATTTCTACATATTAGATTTGTGAAGAATTAATGACACGTTGTTTGGCACCGAATTGTCAAATGGGTGGTCTTGGTTGTGATAATATGACAGTTGTATTATGTCTTTTACTACATGGTGAATCTTATTCAACATTAGCAGCTAAATGTTCGAAAAATATTTCTAATGGAGATATATCACCATCGAAATGAAGGTAGAAAAAACGAACATATGTTGTTTTTTTTGTTTTAATAATATTTAATTTTTAGTTCCTTCACACAAATAAATACGTAAACAATTTGCGTTCATCTTTTTTTTTTTTTCTTTGATAATATAACTGTGTTCCATCATTGTAGAACAGTATTCATTACTGTATTTGTGAAAAAATCAAAAAACAAAAAAAAAAACAAACGTGCGTTCCTTTCTTCTTTCTCTGTTTTCCTATAAAATGCACAGGTATTTATACTGTAAATTGATTTTTATGCAAACGAATATGTGTATGAAGTTATTCTCTTAATATGCTACCCTTTCTTCTTTTTTTTTTTAATCTTTTCATGGGTGATTAGGACTGAAAAAAAAGTGTTGCCTTTGTATACATTGTCCAACTCTTCTTCTTTTTTTTTTATCCATTGTATTATAAATAAGTGGTTGAGAACACAAACAAACACAAAAAAAAGAAAAGTGAATTCATTTCAAAAAGAAAAATTTCAAGGTTTGGCTGATTTGTTCATTTAATTCAATTGCATTAACTAATCACTCATGAAACTAATAAATCTATTTTGCAGATATGATGAATGAATGCAATTTAATCCAAAGTAGGAAATTTGTTTAATTATAAAATATTTTCTATTAGAATTAAAGATGTTCATGTATCCAATATTACTTGATAACTAAAACGATGGAACTAGACAAGTCGAATAAAGAACATTATGAAAAATATAATTTTTTTTGTTTTAAATTTGTTTAAATACAATCGTTGTCTAATGAAAAGAATTAATTTTTGTATAGAATTTAACTGAGATTTGAAGGTGTGATTGTGGATCATGAAGTTTATTTATGTATCGATAATAACTACAGAAGAGAAGAGTAGTTGGTTTTAATTGTTTACTAATGATAAAATACTTGCGGATTATATTTTTGATGGATACTTTCAAGGATAGTCAACCGCAAAAAGTACAAAGTTCTCAGAAGTTTTTTTTTTCGTCTTTAAAGCTCGTTGTGCTGATAATTTTAATACAAAAAAAGATATTCAAATTTACTCAATAAATTATTTTACTAGGATAAAAGCTGTTAACCCAATCCTTGCGGGATTAAAATATGAAACATGATCTAGATATCGCTTCTAATCCTCTGAAAACTGGTCTTTTATATGTATATTGATGCGTATTTCTCCGTCATTGCTTATTTTAGAGTATAGAACTTCAATAAGCAAATACTCTATATATATATATATATATTCCAATTAGATGTTAGTTATACATTGATCTCCGACAGCTCCTTAAAGCTGTCTGTCACGCTCTGTGGAAGCAATGGGTCCAAATTTTTACCCTATATATTTCAACATTCCTTTTGCATCGTGTTTCACAAAATATTCCTGATTGCTGCTGAGCGGTAGTTGACGTCTTCGAGTATTTTAACCCTAGCAATATGATTTATTGAGTAAATTAGAATATTTTGGTTTTACTAAAATGATTAGCACAACGAGCTATACAGACAAAGAAATCTGCTGAGAACCTCGTATTTTTTGTGGTTGACTACCCATGGAAATATCTATCAAAAATACAATTCTCAAACATTTTGTCGTTGGTAGTATATTTATCTAGGCTTTTTTCATACTCTTATTATTCTCTACTTTCGAAACGTTTGAAAGCGTACATCATTATTCAATACTCACATCTAATTTGAATCGCTCTATCATAAGAAGAACGACTACATGATTGACTCATGTTATCTGTATAATCAACGTACTCCGTTAGTCTCTACTGGTGCATATCTCAAAAATGAGATGTTTCATATAATGTTGTCTACTTATAGTTGTATGATGGAACTATCTGTAGTCCGCACAGACTTCAGATGGTCATGTCAGGATTAATATTTGAAAAATCTAATATAACTATTCATGATGATCATGCAGCAAAGCGTTTGTAGAATCTTTTTTCATGCAATCAAGACTACAACATAAACAAATTTTCACAAAAAAAAAATAAAGCAACGACGAAGTTTGTAAAATATGCGGTTCATTGTTCATCAGTTTTATTGACAACTAAATTTTGAGAAGGGATCTACAATAAAAAAAAAAACTCGATGATTTACGAAGATAACAATGTTCATCAATTGTCTTCATACATAGAAATTGTATGAGGTCTCAGTTTTCCTTCATATATGATTACAGAGATGCATGGTAGTAATACTGACTTTGGTGAAGTGTCAAAATATGATTGTATAGAACGCAACGTGGTTGCTGCCAAGTGTATACATTCTTTGACGTAAAGATACGTCATAATTACTATTTCATTTCCATTACTTTAATTAAAATGAATACAAAATATATAAATCAATCATTTCAAGCAATCAATTTTATAGATTTGCACTAATTGACAGAGACAAAACTAGACTATCTATTCATTTTATTATAGTTTAGAAAGCATATTGTTTTCAAAGTGGATTAAGATCATTTTTAAAACCAATGCTGTATCTCAGAAGAAAAGCAACTGGATTTTTTTGTGGATTTTATAAAAAGATGTGGTAATGTTGATTCTAGATAGTCTTGAAAATCCGAGTCATTTCTCTCTTTTTGTTTTAAAGTTGTTGAAAAAATGTCCACGTCCATTTAACGCTAAAATGGACATTAGTCAAGGAATAAAAATGCCAAAAAAAATCAAGTATTTTTACTAGTTTTACCTAGGAAGCCGAAACTTTGGAAAATTAAAAATCTTGATTAGATATATATATATATAATGTTTCATGATTGTTCGTCTTACCGTTTCCGAAAAAAACCGGAAAGGGAGTCCCTTAAGAAAGATTTACAAGTTAAGTCATGAAAAATTTGTATAGAAATTATTCTCGATATTTTATTCTTGAAGTATCTTTAATATCTTGTCAATGTTTACTCATGTTATCCGACGTTGTTTTATATCTTGTCATATTCGACGATCACTTTCAATAGTTCCGAACAATTCTACAGTACCTTCATCGTCCATACGTATTTGTTGTATTGTTGGCAGCGGTCCAGCTGGTTTTTATTTAACACAAAATTTACTTAAACTCAATCAAATAATACCAACAACAATTGATATAATTATAATTTACAAAAATAGCTGAACATGAACGTGTACGTTTTATTAGAAATATTCATGTTGGTAAAACGATTGGATTAAAAGAATTACAAGAATTTTATCATATTATTGTTCTTGCTTATGGTTCATCTGTTGAACATAATTTACATATATCTGGTGAGACAACATTAGAAAATGTTGTTTTTTTCTGCTAAAGATTTTGTTGGATGGTATAATGGTAAGATGCAAAACAAAAAAAAAACAAAATATTTTTTTTTCTAATTCATTATTAAAAAAAAAAATACGAAAAATATTTTTTCAAATAGGTGTACCAGAAAATGCTCTATTGTACTGGTTGGATTGGACGAAGAGCTTGAGGTGTTATTGCTGGAACTACAACAGAATGTATGATAAGTTTAAATTCCATGATTAATTTATTATTTTAATATTTTAGCCCATACAGTTGCTAAAAGAATTATCGAAGATATTGAACAAAGTCATTTGACTAATTTACATGAGATCAAATCGGGAGGTGATGGTTTAATAGCACTTGCTAAATCTCGTCAAATTCGATGTATTTCATATGAAGATTGGAAAAAACTAGATGCACATGAAATAAATCTTGGTCATGTAAAAGGAAAACCACGTGAAAAGATAATCAATATTCAAAAAATGCTTGAATTAACTACATCTTAAAGAAAAAAAAAGAGCTCGAATTTAAATACTTTATGCATCTGAGCACTTGTTAGACTTTCTTTTTTGTTTTTTTTTATCTTTCAGATAATACTTTGTTGATTGACAGTACATCAAATAAATAGTTACTTTTCTAGTGATTAATATCTTTATTTCAGACAAAAACATGTTACGTTTAATACCTTCGTTCATTCGACAATCATCTTTTTTAATATATCGTTCAGCTAGTCGATCATCAAATTCTCGTTCACATAATGAGCCTCGTGTTCGTCTTCATCCAGGAAATCAATATACAATTGAAGAAATTGCTCAAAATATACACAAAGAACATAAACATGAAATTGAAAAATTATATGAATTTCAAAAACTTGAAATTAATAATCAACCTTCAACACGTGATGAATATCGTCATCATATCAATCGTCTGTATTAGATTATTTTTCTTTCTTATTTGTGGACAAAAAAAAAACTTATTGCTTATTTTGTTTTTTTTCTCTTCTAGGTAGAAAAAAAAGGTGTATTTGATTTAGACGATATTGTTCAAATACTTCGTGATGAACATATGAAAGATATATGTGTTATTGAAATTTCACCAGAACAACAATATGCTCGATATTTAATATTAGCTACTGCTTTTACTGCTCGTCATTTGAAAAGTACAAGTGACTATATTAATAAATTAGTAAGGAAGAATACTTCAAATGAAAATGAAAATTTATACAGGATGTCTCAAAAGTTATTATACAAAAGAAAAACTTCGAATATCTCTGCCGTGCTTTGATCATAATGATAGTTTGCTTTTTTTAATTTCTAAAAAAAACAGCAAACTATCATTATGATCAAAGCACGGCGGAGATATTCGAATTTTTGTTTTGTATAGTGACTTTTGGGAACACCCTATACATATAAATATTTATTGTTTAGTATAAAGCTAAAAAGAAACCAAGTGATCCTTAGTTAAGTAATGAATATTGTGATGGTACAAGATGGCATCCTATGGATATGGGTAAGTTTATAGAAAAGAAAATTGTCAAATTAATTTTTGTTTTTATTTCTTAGGTCATCTTGTTTTACATTTAATGGATGCTGAAATGCGTGAACAAAATGATCTTGAAACATTATGGTGTGTTGGTCCAAAATATGATGATCAAGTACATACAATACAACAATCATTAGATGCAATTAAAAAAATGGATGAACAATTAAAAGAAGAAGTATTAACAGTTGCTGATAAGTATGGACCACTTGATAATCCATATTCACATGTTCGATATCCACTCGAAGGTCCAGGACTATTTCAAGATCCACCATCACGAAAACATATGACATTAGGTGATCTTCCACATCAAAAAATGTAGAAGAACAAACAAATATTGAAGTTGAAAAAGAATTTATTGATTTACCAAGTGATCCAAAACCACCGGTTAATAAAAGACAAAAAGTTAATTGAATTTCGTTCATTTTTTTGTGGATATTCTTTCTTTTGTCAATATAAATAAACGATAGAAAAAAAAAACATTATCATCAGCATAAAGACATCTTAACTGCTATTTCAAATATTCAGAAAAATTGGACTATGTATACTTGTTTTTCACAATTCGAGTGACTTTGCTAAGATCTCCAAGAAAATCACGACAAAGGAGGAGGGCGGATAAGGCCAATTTTTTAAACTGCTTTAGGATTAATTTATTTCTATTAAGTTTGAATATGGAGTGACTCCTGATTATTTATTTGAGGTTTATTTCGAAAAAAAAGACGTCGTCAATTTTGGTCCCTGGGGTCACCCCCAGGTGTCGTCGAAAAAAAAATTTCGCTTTTTGTCGATCGAAGCTAGATATTCCTATACATTAAAGTGTACTGATTACGAATATCATAGTAGAACCTCCAAAAACTCCTTTGTTCTCTATATAGTCCGGACCATAATTTAGGCCCTATTTTTCATTGTTGGGCCCCCCGTACAAGAACCTTTCTTCAAACCTTAGTGGAAAATATGTTTTCTAACTCAAAATTTCGTGCTCTATACGAATCTGAACTTTTTACTGCAAAAAATAGTCATCCTCAAATTAAAAAACTGCGATTTCGGGGTAGAAAATGGTCATTTTTTATGTAAATAGGTATTTATCTTCCTATTTTGTAATGAAAGGAATTTAGATGCAATGTCAAATTTTTACCATTAGGGTAGTTTTTTATGCTCTATCGATTGGTGACGTTAAAAATAAAGAAAAAATTGTGCAATAGGATCAGAGATCTTAGATATGGTGAAATATCAGATTTTTCGCGAGTTTTATTTGTATTTAACTATACAACATCATGAAACCATACTTTTCATGATAGTATACTAAGACCACTCAAGTCATTCTTCAAGTATTATTTACTGACACTAAATATTATCAGCTATCATATCGTCCGTTATGTGCAAAATCTAGACTAAAACGAATCTCATGGTGGAAAAGATTGCGGACAGTTAGCACGAGATTTTGAATCAAGACGTGGTTATATGAAAAGAGCACAATGAAAATTGTAGGATGGTTAGAATGAGAATCGATTGGTTTTTCAATGCGT